GTGTTCTTGCCATTGGCCAAAAGTTTTGGCCGATCGGCACCATTTTTTGTCAGTCGGCACTTATGTTGGTCAATCGGCCATATTTTTTAGCTGAGACCTTTCCATCTGCTTTTTGCAGATATTTCCTGCCAGCTATGACAGCTGGTATCCACAATTTACATCCTCCATACACGTGTATGGAGAGATTTGTTTCAAGACTCAAGCTTGCTCAACAAGCTTGAGAATTAGAATTCTATAAGAAGGCAGCCCCTCCTCCCTTCTCAGAGGTTCAGAAAATGGAGTCTTGAGAGATAGATATACATTTGTATCTATATCTCCTTGTTGATCCTTGTTTTGTGCCCTAAAGTGTCTTTTTGTCTCACTATTTCACACAAACACCTAGTAGAACACCATCCTTTGGTTGCTGAGGTCCTTAGGAGTTGTTTTTAGTGTTCTTGAGCTGGTTTTGGCCAGAGGAGGCTGCTGGAGTAGTGTTCTTGAAGGTGTTCTTCAAGGATGAGCTTCTTGCTTTTAAACCCCCATTCTTGCTTAAGCTTTTAGACCTATTTGCTTTTTGTTTAAAGCTTAACTCTAAACTGTAGAAAGTTCTGAATTTTGGTGCTTAAGACCTTTGTTTAAGATCACTTTTGTGTTTGGGGTTGTTTACCTCCCCCCCCCCCCCCTTTAGGCTTTGTTTGGCCTTGCTTTTGTGCTTTCTTTGTGAGCTTTGGGATCACCTTGTTTTGGCCTTCTCACCACCGAAATCCAGAGGATGGGAATGGTGTTTTAAGGTCCGAAAAAGGAGAGGGTCATCCCCTCTCCTTGTGTCTTTAATACTTGCCTTGAATGCCTCATGCGTGAACATGTTTGTTAGGCTTGTTTTAGCTTGTATATTAGCATGTATTTGTGGTTATTTTGTTGAGGCTTACTACTATTTTTGCTTGGATTGATCACTCCATGCATGGTTTATACACTTGTAGTGTAAATTACACACACTAATCTTGTATGCTTCATGAAGTAGCATGTCATTCTAGCCTATGTTGTGTCCACTTCAGCATGTATTTGGTGTTGTCTCACCATGTCATACCTCTGTTTAGGTTTGGTTTGGTTTGGTTAGCCTTTGCATGCCTCCTGCACTTGTAATGCAATCCTCTCTATTGCCTTAACATGCTTTGTGCTCTAAGCCATGTTTTTAGCATGATGTTGGCTTGACCCAAAGAAGCTTTTAGCCTTGTTTTACCATGCTTAAGGCCTGTTTGGTGTTGTTTTGGTCATACTTGTATTGTTTTGTATAGCCATGGTTCAACCTAGCTTGTTGGCTTTAAGTTTCCAAGTCATTAGTATGCATTGCCAATACTATTCTTATGATTTGGCATCATTCCATATGTGTTTTCAGTCCATGTTTCATGCTCAAATGCTTGCACTTATCACTCCTTTAATGCTTTAAAGAGTTGATATTTTATGCCTCATGAATGGATCATTATGCATGCCTCCATGCTTAGGTCTTTGGGGTGCCATCTAAGTGGGTTTTTGGTCTTGTTTTACCATGCCATAACTCTGTTTTTCATTGGTAAGTCATGCCATAGTTGGTTTTGATAGGTGTAGTATAACACCACTTTTGTAGCCTTGCATGCCTTATGTTTTTGGTGTTGTGTTCTAGCTCGTGTTGGCTAGTTTCGAGCATATTTTTGGTCTCATATTGACCTGCCTTGGGACTATTTTGGATGCCCTTGGCCCTTTGGGGCTTGCCTTGCATAGCCATGGTTTAAGTTCCTTGGCTAGCCTTAAGCTTTAGGCTTTCTTGCATGCTATACTTGCTTTGTTTGGTTGATTTGGCATCATTCCTCATATATTTTCAGAGCTTATTGCATTGCCGCATCCTCATGTTTGTCACACCTTGCTCATGTTTGAGAGTTGTGTCTTGTTGCCTAGCTTATGGGCCAATTAGCATACTTGTTTGTTTTGCATTTTAGTACCATCATTTTAGCACTTTTGGCCACTGATTTTGGGCATGGCTGAGGTCCATCCATCTTTAGTTTAAGTCCATTTACCATGTTGTTCAAAGTTGCTACTTTGCATCATGCTTACATGCTTGTTGCATGCTTGTCCCATCGCATGTTGTCGCATGCTTGCTAATTGACATGTTGTTGCATGCTCAATCATCTTGCATACTTGTTAGATTACTTTTCCGTGTCATAAGGTTTTTGAAAGGTCTTTAGTTGCAAAATGTTCATTCTCTGGGAATATTTTATTTTATTTATTTTTCTATATAAATATGTAAGTGGTTGTCAATTAAAGCATTAAGTCCATTTATAATGTCATCTTATTTTAGTAATCTTTTAAATTCAGTCAATTTTGTTGAATGAGAGGTGTTTATACGATGAACCATTCTCTTAAAACATCACTTGTTATAAGTAAGTGAAGGAAAAAAAAGTAATTACAAATAGATGGCAAACAGAATTGAAAAAATGGAGAGAGGAGGGTGGAGTCCAGTGCTTAGAAGAAGACGAGTAGGAAGAGTGGGAAATCAAAGCCGCTAATCTAAGGATGTAGATGGGTTGTTTACCATCTTTGTAGATGAGATACCTGACTCTATGGATCCAAAAAAAGTTGTTCACTTCATTCAGTAAGTTTGGAATAGTTAAGGACGTCTTCATTCCAGCAAAAAGAAGACAAGTAACGAGCTCCCAGCTCAGATTTGTAAGGTATGACTGCAATGGCGGTACAAAAGGCTGATGGTATATGGTGTGACAATAAAGCTCTGAAGGTAAAGAACGCAGAATACAGAAAAGGGGATCAGAAACAACCCACAGTGAGGAACTTAGGAAGTCAAACGATGGGGCAGTACCAACAAAGGAATTTTGCACTGCAGAAAACAGAGTATGATAAAGGAGTGCAAAACTAGCACACAATAAGAAGTAGAGGATGCGAGATGATGAGACAGTACCAACAAAGAAACTCGGCACATCAAAAAATGGAGGCTATAGGAAGATCTTATGCTGAAGTTGTTCAAAATGGAGGCCTTCAGGAGAAGATGAAAGTAGTTGTTAAGACTTATGAGTCAGGAAATGGTTGGCCATATGAAAGTCTGATTGTGAAGCTGAAGAACTTTCTTTCAATCAATGATTTTAAGAAGAAGTTTGAAAGAAAAGAAATGAAGGAGATAAGAGTGAGAGACGGAGGTGGAAGGTTAGCATTACTAACATTTAAATCAGTGCAATGTGCGAAGGAAGCAAGACTATCTGTTGAAGAATGGATTTTTCATTGGTGTGAATCCATAATTGATTAGGAGAAAAGGCTGTATATCGATCACAAAAGGTGTGTGTGGATTTCTTGTGTGGGTGAGTGTCCACACTTTCACATATATTGGTAAACTATGGGGGGAAGTTGTTCAGTTGGATGACAACATTTTTAATCACAATTCCTTCCAGTATGGTAAGGTAAGAATTGTTACGAAGGGGTTTGAGTTCATAAATACAGTGATTAATGTTGAATGCCATGGTAAGTTTTTCCCAATTCGTGTGTGTGAAGATTTATCAGCATTTGTCACTCTATGTGTTTGTCAACAACAAAGCTAGGGGAGTGAGGAGGTTGCCTCCAAAACTTAGAAACAAATTGATCAAATATCAAAAAATGACAATGGAGATGAGGATAATGAGAACGCAAATGCAGGGAAGGAGGAAATGTCAAGGAAAGATGATGTTGTAAGCAAAAAGCAGGACATAGTAGACACAGATACAGAGGAGAAGGAATGAAGCAATAAATAGGAGTCTGTATCAGCCATCAAATAGCATGGATGTGATGTGGGAAATCCAAATCATGGAGTTGACTATATGGAGGTAGGTCTGCAATAGGTGGATAGCCTAAGAAAAGAGGTGGCAAATGAAATTCAAATTGTTACAAGTCAGATATGTTCCATTGGGTTCATTAGGTGTATTAGTGGGCCAAAAAATATAAGACCCAATATAAATTTAGAGGTAGTTTTAAATAAGTCACAACTTGGGGACTTGACAAATGGGCCTATCATTGAGGCTTCCAACCTTAGTGATTGTGCAGAACAAACTCAGATAAGTCCATTAGGTATTCCACCGGCCCAACAGGGAGTAACAATAGGGGCATTGCAGCAACACGGGGGAAGACCAGTAAAAAAGCCATCAATCGAAGCATGAGAAAAGGAGTTGAAATGAAGAATAGGGGAAAGATAAACTGAAAGTAACTGAAAAACAAGGTTGTACTGTTCAGCAATTGTCTTCAAAAGGGAGCTATATTTCGAGCAACAGCTGCTGCAATCTCATTATCAGTTTCTTAGAGTACAGATTCAAGGAAAATGAGGAAGTTGTTGAATGAAGCAGAAGCTACAGTTCAAGTTGGGAAAATTTTAGGGCTGAATTGTGAAGGCAAGGAGGAGAAGGTGGTAAACAAAATAATTGAGCTAGAAGAAAAGGATCTTGAAAGAATGAAAGGCATAGGTGCAGCTTCCTAAGCTAATTTGGTTGTTATTAGGAGGTTTGGTGTATGTCAGAAGTTTCCTTATGAAGTTATTATCTTGGAATATTAGAGGTCTAAGAAGGCCTGAAAAGAGGAGGAAAATAAAGAATTTGGTTAGGGATAGAAATATTGATTACAAGAAACAAAGAGGTGCAGTGTTGATGAAAATTTTGTTAAGTCATTATAGCCATGGGAGGAGATGGACTTCAAATGAAGTATTGAAAAGAGGGCAGCTATGGGTATCTTTACTGAAGCTTAAATATACTTTTGTAAGTCCTTGGTTTGTAGGAGGTGATTTTAATAAAGTTAGGGTTATGAGTGAAAGGAAAGGGTGCTTGAGGAGGGATAGAGGAATGAAGGATTTCAATGATTTGATTGATAATTTAGAGTTGTTAGATATCCCAATGATAGGCAGAACCTCTACATAGTCAAATGCTTTGGTTGGGAATAGGTGGAGCAGGATTGATAGATTCCTAAATAACCATAGGTGGTTGGAAAAGTTCTCATTTAAGTAGTGCGGGCTACCTAGAAGTATGTCTGACCACTACTCTATATTGTTAATGGAAGATGAGATGGATTGGGGACCAAGGTCATTTAGATTCATAAATGCTTGTTGCTTGCATCCTAAATTTAAATCTGAAGTGAGGAAATCTTGGGAGAATAATCAGATCAGTGGTTGGGCTGGTTACATGATATTGAAAAAGCTGGGGAATCTTAGAGTACATCTCGGAAGGTGGAATTGCGAAGTTTTTGGAAACATTGATGAGCAATTGAAACGTTCTGAGGCAGAACTTCATGACTGGGATGTTAAGGCTGAAGGTAGGAACCTGCAGGAACATGAGGTCAAAAGGAGAAGGGAGGTTAGAAGGCTAGTTTGGGAGCTAAACAAAAAGAATGAGTGGCTATGGCATCAAAAATCTAGACTGACATGGGCAGCCAATGGGGACAAAAATACAAGGTTCTTTCATATCTTGGCTAGTAGCAGGCAGAGGAAAAATTTGCTGGATTCTGTAAAAGAAAATGATGTCATCTATGATCAACCAAGTGTTATGAAACAAGTAGTGGTGAGATATTTCAGCCAACTGTTTTCTAATGATTGGAAGATTAGGCCAAAACTGTCAGGTGCATTTGTCTCAATTAGTCCTGTAGAATTAGAATTGTTAGAGGAAGAGTTTTCAGAGGAGGAAATTGGGGAAGCAGTCAATGATTGTGACGGTAATAAAGCTCCGGGCCTGATGGGTTTAATTTATCTTGCATCTAGAAATGCTGGAATATAATGAAAATAGAGGTAGTGCAGCTTATGCATGAATTCCATTCTAATGGTAAGTTGGCTTGAGAAGTGAACAGTTCATTTATTACTCTAATTCCCCAAAAGATAATCCCTTGGGTCTGAGTGATTATAGGCCTATTAGTTTGGTAAGTTCTGTATACAAAATTGTTGCCAAGGTCTTATCTAGAAGATTGAGAAAGGTGCTTCCAAATATTATTAGTGAAGTGCAAACAACCTTTTTGACTGGAATGTGTATCCTGGATTGGGTGCTAATTGCCAATGAAATGGTAGATTGGCAGAAGAGATCAAAAAAACAAGGCATCATTCTTAAACTGGATTTTGAGAAGGCATATGATTCAGTAAACTGGGAGTTCTTGTATTCAATGTTGACTAACTTTGGTTTTGGAGAGAAATGGGTGAGGTGGATGAAAACTTGTATCTCTACAGCTAGAGTCTCAGTGCGAGTTAATGGTTCACCCACCACGGAATTTTCTCTAATGAAAGGCCTTAGGTAAGGTGATCCGCTTTCACCCTTCCTTTTTAACATTGTTGTAGAGGGCGTTAACTTATTGATGACAAGAGCTAAATAAGTGGGTTTGATAAGAGGAGCTTCAATTGGACCAAATGATCTGAGATTATCTCACCTTCAATTTGTAGATGATACCATCATATTTTGTGAAGCAGTTAGGAGGAAATTATTGTTATTAAGAGATTTCTAAGATGTTTTGAGGTTATGTTTGGACTTAAAATTAATTTCCACAAAGTCAGGTTTGTGGAATAAGTGTACAAGATGATTTAGTGAAAGGATTTGCAAATAGTTTTAATTGCCATAGCCAGAAGTTGCCTTTAAAGTATCTGGGTCTGCCTTTAGGAGAAAATCCAAGTAGAAAGACCACCTGGCAGCCATTGGTGGATAATTTTAAAAAGAAGCTAGCTTTATGGAAGAGAAGGTGCATGTCTTTTGCAGGAGGATTAACCTTGATAAGATCAGTGTTGTCTAGTTTGCCAGTCTATTTTTTTATCTTTGTTTAAGATGCCAGTGGGTATTGTAAAATCACTTGAAAAAATTCAGTCTAATTTTCTCCGAGGAGGATCTGAATTAAGGAGAAAAGTACATCTAGTTAGTTGAAAGGAGGTATGCTTGAGCAAGATTCAAGGAGGGTTAGGGGTCAGGAATTTAAGGGAGGTAAATGATTGCCTACTTCTAAAGTGGTGGTGAAGGTATGGTAGGGAGGAGAATGCTTTGTGGAAAGAAGTGTTGTGCAGCAAGTATGGCGGGTTTGGTGGCAGATGGAGTCCGTTACTAGTGGTTTCAACTAGGATGTATATTCTGTAGTAGGATGTCTTATCAGTGAATCTATGTAATCCTACTTTGTGTGTATTCTTTTTCAACAATGTCAAAACAGTAGTGGGAAATGGTAGAAGGATTCAGTTTTGGGTTAATATATGGTTTAGCAATTAGAGTCTTAGTGAAGTCTTTCCCAGATTGTTTTCATTGTCAACTGAGAAAGGGGAGTCATTGCTGCAATTTGTCCAAAGGAAAGGAGATGGTCGTGACTGGAAGCTAGCTTTTAGAAGGCCCCTATTTGCTTGGGAAGAGGAGGAAATGTCCAAGTTGAATGATTTGCTGCATAATACACCTACTATAAATGCTTTGGCTGAAAATTCTTGTTTTTGGTTAGCACACTCTTCTGGGTCATTTATTGTGGCTTTAGTGTGGAAATTAGTGGAATCATCCAAAGGTCCTACAAAATCAATTACAAGGACCATTTGGAGGAATATAGCTCCACCTAAAGTGCAATTCCTAAGTTGGCTACTTCGGAGAGGCAGGATTAAATCCTCAGTGTTAGGACCCTTGTCAAATTCCATGAACAAACTTGGGTTTCATTGAGATGTAATTTTCCTTTGTTTTTGGTCTTCTCGCTCGAGCGGGGAACATGGCGCTCGAGTGGAGTTTCCACCATTGCAGTATTTTGGTTTGTCTGCAAAATATACTGAGTGGTGTGATTTTATGCTCGAGCGTAAGTTGCTACGCTTAAGCGTGAACCCTGGTTTGGAACACGCGTTGTAGTGTCCCCGCTCGAGCGTCCATTTCTACGCTCGAGCGGACCTCGCGATTTCAACAGCTATAAAGCAGCAGGTTGCTCCAAATCTAGGGTTACATTTTCTAGATTTCTTTAAGGGTTTTAGGGTTTTCTTTTGGGGCTATTTTTCTGGTTTTCCTTGATGTTGATTGAGTATTGAACTCATGTTCTGATAAGCACATATCAAGGAGTTGGTTGATCCTTTTTAAGAGTATTCTTCTTCGGTGGAATCCAGAGATTCAAGCATAGAGTAATTGAAAGAGTTTTATGCTGTGTGCAGTTATTGATTCGACAATGGATGTTATGGATTTAACATCAATCTAATCAATTCTGAGACGAAGGTTGTGGTGAAAGATATACAGAAGATTTGAAGACAAATTGGATGCGTTTGGGTAATTTGTTTGATATCTTTGTAATCTATCTTTTTTCAGTAGTGGATTGATTTATGGTGTTTCATCCATGGTTTTTTGTCACAATTGGAGGTGTTTCAATTGTGGGTTTTCCACGTAAAGATCATTTGTGTCGATTTATTATTTTTTGAAATAACAATCTAGATCACGTTCGTACGTGCTTGATGATTTAGATTGTTAGTTTTAATTGTTTGGGAACTGGTACAATTAAATCTTGATCTAATCACGAATCACCTAGGTTTTTCAATTGGTATCAAAGTGGGTCACTCTTTGTTTTTATCGAAACTATAGGAGCGTGATTTTGTGTGATTGGTGATATAGATTCAATTCGCGAAGATAACTCGACCGATAGACGTCCGTTTCTTGATGGTACAAACTATTCTTATTGGAAAGCTTGTATGAGAGCGTTTTTAAAATATATCGATGAGAAAGTTTGGCACTGTGTGATCTATGGGTGGATGTAGACGTGCCTGAACGTCCTGGCTCCGCGCGGCGAATGGGCGTGAAATCCGTTTTGTTCATTAGCTACTACAGTTCGGATTCACTGTCAAGGTTCTGAATCTAATCTCGCAAAGTGCAATGCAAGAGCGATAAAGAGTCCAAATTTGGAAAATCGTTTTGGAAAATTGATTTTTATAAAGAAGTGCCAAACATGGACTGCTTTGCTAGATACAGAGTTGCTACCTAAATGTTTTTATGTATTGGGAAATTTAGGAAACCCTGACTCATGCCTAAGGCCACATGTTCGTCATCACCAAAGTTCTCTTGGCTCGGGAACATGGGTAAGAGAGGGGAAGGTCATGCAATGAGCACCCTCGCTCGCCCGATCAAAGATTGGCCTGTACTAAGCATGATGTATTGTTTTTGAAAATTAGCTAGAATTACTATGTGATGTGCACAACACACAAATATAGACTAGATCGCCTAATTTGGAACAAAGCATTACATATGTGTTGTTTGAAAAACGGTTTGGAGTTTGCTACTCGCATGTAGGCTAAATCGAGGATTCAACGAATTGTTCCAATGCAAGCAATCCAACCTTCACCCACAGGCATTCAGGCAGTTAAACACTTAAGCAGTTAGCCTCATGGCAAGCATGTTTTCATGGCAAACATTAATACACATGCAGTATGCTAAAGCGTAAACACTCACAGTGTACTCCGAGCCAAAACAGAAAACTAGTTAGAAATCAATGCATGATCCTAGTTCATGTTAAGATGGCAAATGTAACACATGCAAAATGCAACTGGAAATAGGCTCGGCTATTCTAAGATGGCATATGAGATGCGACAACTCGATACATGTATTCAAGTAGGAATTGAAATACAATGCAGTTAGTATGATGCGCCGAACCCGGTGCATGCAATACAGATGAATGATGCAAACATGTATAGTATAATTATTGTAAATGAAATATGCCCTAAAGCTAACCATCGTAAGCGGTTAAGTAAAAGGGAGAAAGACGTGGGGTTGGAAGACATGCATCACACACACGCACACTTATTACAAAATTGTGCCCTCTCGACGGAGGGTGCGAAAGAATAATACAAATCAACTAATTAATCAACTGACAAGATAATTAATTATTACACAACTCTTAACTAATTAAACAAATTAATTAAGCTACAAAAACAGTAAAGCGGCCTCGATAAGAGGGACAACTGCATGCTCGATCGGCTTCGCTTGGAAATCCATTGCCATGCCTCATGTTGCCTCTGTTTGCACTGTTTTGCACCTCTGAAGACTGTGAAAAGTCCTGTGATGCTTTAGAACCACTTCATGGACATGTTGAGAGGCCATCGGCCAAATGGTGAAGCCATCGGCCAAAGGAAAGGTGTCATCGACCATTTATGAGGTCATCAGCCAAACACTTTTAGCCGATCGGCACACCAAATAGCCGATCGGCTATCTTTTCCTGCAAAATGTTGTTTTGCTACAGTAGAGGACAAACAGAGGTATGGCAATACAATTCCATGACAATGTTTGCAGCTACACCCCTTATCATGTTTAAGGCTCAAAGGTGTGTAGTTCTCGACCCTCAGGCCACCAATCATGCATTCCAATGCATGATGGTCAAAGGAACCAAGTGTGCAATTCAATATGGAATGAATGCACAAAATCACATAAGGGACCTTAACCTCTATCATGTTTGATCAAGAGGCAAGGCAATGCACAAACAATGCAATGAAACCTAAGCATGCAAGCAAAGCTAATGCAACATGAGTATGTTAACAACGATGCCACTCAAGCATGCAAGCATACAATGTAATAGGCATGCAACAATAATACCTACGATAAGCATGTTGTTGGTGTCCTGTGCGCACTACGTAATCATGTCACAAATCAATGATAAAATGTCACATTCCCATGTTATCTTTCCAATCATGAACGTGAAGTGTGAATCTGTAGACACCCCATTTTTGACCGCCCTTAAGACTTGGGCGCCACTGATTGCTTACTTGATGGTGAAGGTTATGTTGTGCAAAGGTTCGATTTCTTCGGCAAGAGGAGCTCCAAATCCCAACCTCAAACCCCATTTTTGGACCAAAGCCTTTTGACCAAAATGATTTTTAGGCCTCAAAACCCTCTCTTTTAAAATATTTTTGAAAAAAGTTTCTACGATGTTCCGAGACTCGCATTTCATTAAATATTGCGCTTTTCGGTAAACCGAGCAACGACGAAGTGGAAATAGATGAAAGAGAGGTGAACTCTATGAAAAATCTTTCAAAACATCTTATTTAGGGGTTTGGGGTTGAAGAAAAAAGGAGAGGGAAGAAAACTAGCTGAGAAGAAGCTAGGCATGAATCCGAGTAGGATCGAAACTGAGCAGTCTTCACTAAAATAAGCATATCTTCTTGCACACTTGGAATTCTAATGTGAGGCTGCCACCATTGGAAAAAAGACGTTTGGGGCTTCAGTTTAGACTCAAAAATGACCTGCAAAGGAGTCCAAATGAAGGAGATATGCCCATTTGAAGTTGGACCTAGAGAGCAGATTTTTTCTACCGGCCACTGGTGAAGT